ATACTCTAGAGATAAGCAAGGCTCAAAAGAGTATTTCTGAAATAAATAAATAAATAAAGAAAGAAAGAAAGAAAGAAAGAAAGAAAGAAAGAAAGAAAGAAAGATTGAGTTGGCAGATTTACAGGATCGTAACAGGAGAAATAATTTAAGGATCAAAGGAGTGTCAGAGAAAACTGGAACAACCAATTTGACTGCTTATTTCATTTCTAAAATGAATGACCTGAGCTCTGATTTGAACCTAACAGATAAAGATATTGAACATGCTCACTAGATTTACTGTTCTAGGAACACACAGAAACCTAGAGAAATTTTGGTCAGATTTGTAAATTCAAATATAAAAGTTGAAATTATAAGAAAATCACGTGAATTGAAGGAGATTAAATGGGGCAGTGAGAGATTATCCTTCTTCCAAGACATCAGCATAGCTACATTACAGTGAAAAAAGGAATTTAAACCACTGACAGAAAAACTTATGCAGGATGAGATTTATTATAAGTGGGGATTTCCTTTCAAGTTAGTTGTTTTTATGTCACAAGGAAGAAAAGTTATTTATTTCCTATTCATGATGCTACAGTCATGCAGAAGACTATACACATGGAGACAAAACAATTAAAAATACTATCTTTGAAGTCTTATGGAAAGTTCTTTTTACAGATTTGGTTTAGAACAAAATATCTTGTTAACTGAAAAGGCAGATATTTTCCTTCATTTTCTCATCTCCTGAAAGTAAACTGCATCCCTCTCTTACAGTTTTTTTTTTGGGGGGGGGACAGGGAAATGTTTTTGGGTCTCCCATGTTGGTACCTTCAAGTGCTTCAATTGAATGAAATGTTCTATATTGATTGATCATATGTAAACACTGTTCACTTGTCTTAAGAAATTGGTTATAACTTTCACATTAACTATAACTCATTCTCTTCCCCATTCTGAGACACACACACACACACACAGCCTTCAGTACAAGAAGATCACATATAGACTGTACATATTTGCAGAGGGGGCATCAATATTCTCTCTGTGCATCTTTAAACATTTAAGTAAAAACAAATCCATACACGTAAACATGCTTATACACTTCTAAAAATACAAGAATTATGGCTTAGGCATAACCAGTTTAATTTTCAAAAACTCACATTGTTGGGTTTTTTATTCTTTTACTAGGATCTATTGAGAATTATGGATACACTGTTCCTGCAACCTAAGGAAGAAGATGCTTTTACTTCAGAAGCTTGTGGGGCCATAATGACTTGAGAAAACCAGAGATGCAGAGGAAGTAGTTGGGTATCACTTATTTTTCCTTTTCAGTTCTTTCAGTTTTTACACTGAGTTTTCAAAGCCACAGGGTGAATTGAACTACTGTTATTAGAAACCTAACCTCAGAATATATTTAGTTGCCATGTACACTTTGTGGATATTAAATAACAGCCTATACTCTTTTTCATTCTTTTGCATGCTGACTTTCAGTGGTACAGTGGTGGGAGGAAATTAGCAAGCTGAATGTTATTCCTGCCCAGATTTTTAAAAAATTCCTCTGTTCCTTAGGTGTTTCTTTTTTTAAAATGCTCATTCATATGGGTTTATTTATTTATAACACTTCTCATTAATCAGCTTGAAATCCTATTTTGGTGGGCAGATAAGACGCTTAGCAATATTAGATGCTTGAACACACTGAATTGTAAAATATTTGCATTCACTTTCTTTTTAAAGAGGGTTTAACCTATACTGTGCTATGTCAAGGTAAGGTAAAAATCTAAGCAAATGGCAGTGTTAGCTCAGGTTATATAGCACCAAAATTATAGCAATAAGAACTTGAGAAAAATACTTTAAAAGGTAAAGTCTCACTTGAGTCAAACTTAACTCTTGGTGACTTCACAAATACGTCAATGTAATTTTCTTGGTAGCAGTACAGAAGCAGTTTATCATTACATTGTTCCAGGATGTTTTCTGACTTCCCAGTCTAGCCTACAACTCTGATATTATCCTGGAGATCTTCTTCAAATATTAACCAGGCCTGACCCTGTTTAGTATCCATAAACATTTGCAAGAGGATTTTGGTTCTACATGCCTCCTTTTCTCTTATCACTGAAGATAACTAGAAATAAAAACTATGAAGTGCAAGTGGTTTAAAGTTTATTTTAAAGTGAAGAAAAGTATCACATGTGGCAACACCCAACAACCTCAGTTGATCTAGACTAGGAAGTTAAAAAAAAAAAAAAAGGCAACTCAATGACAAACCACTTCCATTGCCAAAAAAAAAAAAACCACCACCTTTCATGGTTACTCCTATGTATAGTTGTAACCAGAAATCAAGCGGAAGTCAAAGGAACCTTTTGCAACTGCTCATAAAGAGAGAAAAATGGAAATATAGTACTGGACAAGAGAAACTGAGCAAATATGGGGAAGGTCTTTTCAAAACTGTTACTGAGTGAGTCTTCCAGTATTCAACTCAACACACAAGCAACAATGACCCTTCCTTCAACTCTCCTAGTTTTGCTGGTGAAATAAGCAAAACCTCCATCAATGGGTTTATTGTGCAATTGTAGATCAAGATTCATGACCACAAACAAGTGATTGCAATTGCTTCAATATAAGCTGAATTCATGATAGTAGAAGCATACATGGGTACAGGAATGCTCCTTGCTGCAATCACATTATAAGCATGGAGATGCTTTACTCACATCCCTAGTGTGAATTAGGAGTATGGAGGGACATCTCACTGCTATTCCTGTGTTGGACTGAACATGGAAAGTTATCGCCTGAACAGGAGCAAAGGGATGAGGCTTCATAAAGTACGTAACTACAAAAAGAGCATTTACAAGGAATCTTCACCAAATGGATATTTTAGTAAAATAAATAACTTATTCTTCCAGAGTTTCTACATATTTGTGTCAATTACACCCTATTTGTATAGTAAAAGTTTCAAACACAGAAAAGGCAATGTTAATTGTACATTATTTCCAGCTAGGTTTATCTTTTTTCCTTTTCCAAAGAAAGTAAAGAGTCATACATATGAAAGAAAAAATACAGAAAAAAATCTCAGAAACATTGCTGCAGAATATAATTTTAAATCAACACATGCACCTGGATGCAAAACAAAATGTAAAATGTGTGTGCTTCAGAATTTCAATCATAGAATTATTCAATTCTGTGGGGAAAAAAAAAAACAGCAGCAGCAGCAGCTTTCTTCTCAGTTTAGGAAACATGTCTTGTGGAGTTTAGCAACTCCCCCAAAGACAGTTGTTCCAGAATGCAATTGTCTTTCCCACAAGGAAGGGATGGCTCTTTGAAAGCCCGGTTCTGCAAACTCTTGTTATTCATAAAAGCTGCTGACTCATGGCCTAGTGAGTCAGAGCTCTTGCCCAGACTAAAGAGCAGCAGAAAGAGCTACACCCATGCGATCCAGGTGGAGTTATGTTCCAAGGAAGTTTTCACTATCCTCCCTCAGGAGGTTCCTTTCTCTTCTGTGGTCTTTCTTTCAGCCAGCCCTTCCAGCAAAGTAATCCCAATTACAATGGGGCACATTAAATACACAGCATGCAGCACCCCTTATGTTTTTTCCTTAGCTCAAAAGCAAGCATACCAAATGGACCTGAATGTCAAGTGGAAAAGTGAGATTTAATCCTTCCCTTCAACACATGGATGTGTCCTGTGTGTCAACAGAAATCATTTTTTACCACTGGCACTAATGAGATTTTTTTTCTTTAATTATCTCTAGGTGCTACATAAGTGAAGGGCACGATCACGTCTGTAGACAGAAGGAATAATTCCTATCTGTTGCAGTCCCAATCTAGACCAAAATCCTCAGCCTTTTCTTTTGAATTAAAAAAAGAAAAAAAAACAGTAACAAAAATATACACACAGAAAGCTGCATGCGGTAACTTAACATAATTAAGATACCCAAGAAACAGATAGTTTGAAGAAATATAAAAAAAAAAATTACACACAATCAAGTGTACTCATCTGCCCATTTTTTATATGTTACAACTGACAATTTAGGAAGTAGTATACTGAAATTTCAACACATGCAGTGCTTACCAAGTTATAAAGTTCATTATTCCCTAAATCTAGTTCTTCTAGTCTCTGCAGCTGGGCAACTGACCTGCAAAATCAGGAACAATATAGTTTTTAAAAAATAATAAATTCACATACAGTTTAGTATTAGAATTAGACTAAGACATTCTTAATATGATTTATCCTAATATTAAAACAATGTGTGTTAATAAAGGCACTGATTGATTGATTGATTGATTGATTAGGTGCCATCAAGTCATTTTCAACTCCTAGCAACCACACAAATAGATTATCTCCATGACAAAATAAAAACATTACTTTTCAGCAATGTCTACTTTTTGCTGGAAGATTTATTCTACTCTTCTGTTCTACTTGCATAGTCAGGGGACAGAAGATTCTCAAGTCATACTGTGCATACAAACAAACAAAGAAAAACTTACTCAGGTAAATATGTTAATAGATTCTCCCTTAATTCCAGTGATGCCAGGTTATAGAGGCTAAAGAGACAGAATAAACGTGGTTAACACTTTATGACATAAAATGGTGCTACAAAAGACAAAAAGTAGGCTCTGTAAATAGAACATCTCAAGCATCTTATAAAACCTAAGTAAGCAGGTAGATATACTATTAAGTTGATTTTTGCGTAAGTTGAAACCTAAATCAGGCAATATTTCTGCCCAGGTAAGCTAAGCAGCGGAAAGCAGAACTGGTGGGACCAACATGCTCAGCGATTCCTGGCTTTTTAGATGGTAGAAGGTGGTGCCCACCTCATGCTTCTGGGATTACATGTTACAGCCCTAGGGGATAGACCAGACCAACAGACTCCACACAGGCCTAAAACTACTTTTATTAAGATGGGCTATAGTAACAGAATCTTGCAAGTCTGACTGTGCTTCCCCTCCTCCCTCTTTTAAATTAATGTAAATTAGGGGGGTGCCTATCTGAGACAATGTCATAACCCTTAATTAAGGGTTTAAGCAATGTTCATCTATTTGTTACCTTGATAACAGAACTCCCTTCTTTCCGTCAAGGTCATTCTCTTTACTCTCTACAGATCACTAGCTGCTCTTGCTCTTATTATCAAATATATTTCATATAAATTTTGTGGTGTTTAGAGTGGATACCAAATAATTATATATATATATATGCATAATAAAAAGGAGAATTTCTAGAGAAGATAAATCATATGCTTGCATTACCTAATAGTTACAAGGAAGTATAAACTATTTTTCCTCAATAGTAAAGAAAGAATACATTCACTGCAGTCTGAATGTAATTTTATTTATTGGCTTGATCATTAAAATGTAAGGGATTAGTCACAGAAGGATCAATTAAAATTAATCTCCAGCTATTCATAGTATTCCATAATGGAGTTCTCACTGCAAATGACCTTATATGGGTAAGTTTTTCATTGTCACCCCTTCATAATAAAAGCCTATCATCACCATAGTAACATTTTCCCTCTTTGGGCTTTATTTAGGACTAAATGGAACACAAAGAATTAGATATTTGCCCAGTGCTATAATCTGCTTTAATCCTTCAATTTCTCGGAATAAAATAAAAATAGTGATATATCCATATTTTCCAAATCATAGCTATCTTTGCCTTACTCAGCAATGGACTCCAGAAAAAACGCCACAGTCATCATTTGTAAAAAGCTCTAGAGAACTTAAAAGAGCAGCAATATGCTAGAGCCAAGTTTGTCAGATCACAACATTTTGCCTCAGTTGGCAGGTATGAAAATGTACACAGAGAAAAAATGGCTACTACAGCGGTTAGAGAAGTATAAAATGAAAGAAAAGCAACTTACCTGTCACAACGCATGTGTTAGAGCTCTTGACTAAGTATTAACAAATATATTAGTTTCCTAATATGCAAATTTGAAACCTAAACCTTTAACATAGTATTCCAAGTTGCTAATAAAATCTAATTCAGCAGTTTCAGTCTAGAGTTGTTACCATTAAGAATGCCAAATTGTTTAAACCTGCCATTTCCTGAACTATTGCCTGTTGATGTTATTTCACTATAATCACTTATTCTGGTTGCTATCTGCATTGTTACCAAGAAAACAACAGGATGGTATGTGACATTTTCTCCTAGTTCTGCTCCAACTCCACCCTTCTTTGTCCATTTCAATAACATAATAGTTGAGTGAACACTCTTACATCATCTGGTAGTATCAACTGTAGAAAGCACAGTGGTGAGAATTCAGGTTGCTATGCTGACACAATTCTCTGGGTCAATCTACAACACTCTTAGCAGATCCATCTTCTTTCTTACCAAGCACAATAATTCATAGGGTTCTGGCTATGAAATTCTTTTTCTTGTAGGACCTCCCAGCTTTCAGATATATGGGATCTCGACACCCATAATAAGCACAACCACTGACTCTTGATTATGCCATAGAATTATGGATTTATAACACTCGCCTATTCCAGAAATGTATCAGCTCAAAAATAAGACCAACATATGTGCACATTTTGAATACTATAATGGAAAGAGTTTTTCAGCCAAATTTCAGAAACCATATGTTTTAGGAATGTTTAAATATTCCATGCAAGATAACAGCCAAATCAACCCAAGAGAAGATGCAATTTCTTAAATAATTAAGATTATTGCTTTCTTCCTTCAGTATTCCAGATGTCACTTCTGGCTGAAGTATAGGACCTGTTAGAAGTCTAAGGGAATACATTCCAAAACATGCCCTTTTTAGAACCAACATGTTGGCTTGGTTTTAAATTAGAGCCATGCTTAAATGTGGCAGTTTTTCATTCACGTGCGAATTTGTAATTTTGGCTATGTATTAATGCAATTAACCAGTAATTACATATGTTATGTATACATCTAATTAAACAGCCATTTCCTTGTTCTACCAGTTGCAAAATGCAGTTTGGTCCCTCAGCATTTCAAAAATAGATGACTGTTAAGCAATAAAATAAATATATTAAATCACAAATCAGATCTCACACTAATATCCATAGCAGAAGATGGATGTGCTTATAGGCCATTTCAGGAATTCTAAAAATGTATTCTCTCTATTCATGCAGAGGGAATGGGCTACTTTTGGTTTGTCATCTTCTGTATGTAGAAGGGAATTCAGCAGAGCTCCCTGCAATTTAGAACCCTGAGTTACACAAAAACCATCCAAAACGAGAGGAAAAAAAAAATCAGGGCTGCAGACATATGCCCTTTACATCTGGAAGGCAACAGAGATGGTGATAGAGGAATAAAGTTAGCATATTTATTCCAGCTTTGCTTCCTTCCAGGTCAAGACTCTGTCACCCTGGTAAATTCTTGTTTGGCTATATATGATCAGAGAGTATTCCTTGAAACTAGAACACAGAGAGCACACCACAGTCCAATGGAGTTCTTTATATTAATAGCAATCTTATACTACAGGGTGCAGGAGAAACAGCATCTCTTATTTGTATGAGAGATGAACTTGACCATCACTGCAATTTGTGGGATGCTGCAGAAGCATGCCTGCAGACCATCCTTTTTCAAACATCAACAGTACTTTAACTGATTATTGGAGAAGACCACCAAAACACAGTCTCTCACAAAATTCTTTATCCCAGCTGTGGTTAGAATCAAAGTGGCAAGAGGCTATAAAAGCAGGATACACAAATTAGAAGATAGTTCGTAATTGTCAAGGAGACAGTACTTGTGGAAATGAAATACAGGAGAGTAAGCTAAGTAGAGAAATAGTACAGGGATTATTTTTGGTAAGAACAAACAAGGTAAGAAAGGGAAGGGATGAAGAATAATTTTATTTATTGCAGCTGAACAAAACTATAGCTCCATGTAAGTTTAGGCATTAATTCAGAATCTAAATAGAGCCATATTTTGCTTTAAAAATCAGCTTAATGTGGTTCAAAGCAACTGGAAAAGATGCAAATGTTTTAATTGTAGTGCTTTAATATATACTTAATGCTTTGGTAGATTTCCAGGCATATAGCCAAGACAAGCCACCACCAAAGCAAACCAAATCTCAACTAACTTTGCCACTTTTAAACATCTTGAAATCTGATTATACAAACAGTTTCAACATACCAAAGATGGGGGGGGGGAGGGGGGGACAAGGATCTTTCCCACTTAATTTTAATCTAATTTTCTCTGTAAATGAATAGGGACTATAGCTATGGAACTAAATATTACACATGAATTGTGTTTTGAGTACATGCCACAAAGAATTATCCTTTCTTGTCATGTTCTGCCTTTTCAGAATGTCTGCCTTCAGCTATAAATTGTATTTCCCCATGAATATATTTCGAACATAATTTTATGCCTGATAGTTACCAACCAAAAAGTTGTCACATAAACTTCCCTAAGTAATGACATACACAGGAAGGAGCAAGTGATAGCAAAATACTAAGTAAACTTTAATAAAAGAGGGAAAATATTTTTTTCAAACTGAGATTTAATATCAAAACTCTTGAGCTTGTACGTGGGCTTAACAGCTTGCATATTATAAAAAAAGAAAACATTTAGAAAAGAGAAAAGCAAGTGTGGTTTTTTTTTTTCAAGTAAGATTTTATATTCTTTTCTTCTCACCTATGGAGAAAGTCTAATTTTACAGTAGTACATCCTGTTCAATAATCTCCAGGCTCTATTGCAATAAAGCTGAAAAAAATTCTCTTGACTTTTCAAAAAGTGTATTTTCTATTTCTGAATATATTATATAGATTAAAAATGGTAGCTAGCTGTATTTAGCACTTTGAATATGCAGTCTTCATTTCTATTCTAGTCAAAATATGGTTTAACCTCAAATAAATCCCCACCAGCAATTATATATATTAAAATGCTTAATAATGATGCAATTATATATACTAATTTCATCCTCCAGGATTTTCATTTTTATTTGAAAATCAAAGTCTATCAACCTGAATTAGAAACAAACTGGTGGATGCAAAGGTATTTACACCAAATGCAAGTGGACCTCATTATGCACTATGTTGTTATCTGCATATCTTCACATCATGGATCCAAGAAACAGTTCCACATGTCCACAATTTTTGGCATGCAGTTTTGATCTCTCCACCATTTTGTGCAGAAGTGTTTATTCACTCACCCAACCCCAATTTCACAGAAATCCTAGTGATCTGTAGCATTCTTACTTTGTGGGTTATCCTCTTCCTTCAGCAGTAAAAATGAGGAATACATTAGAGTGAGAAAGAGGAAGATCTGAGATAACCAAGATACAGTATTCTTGTTTTTGCTTTTTCATTCTGTTTTCGATCATTTGTCTGGAGCTCAGAACTTAATTGCCAACCACATTCATTGGATTAGGCAGCATAAAAATAACTGTACTAAAGAAATTGTACTAAAGTCTAATTTTACAGTAGTACATCCTGTTCAATAATCCCCAGGCTCTATTGCAATAAAGCTGAAAAAAATTATCTTGATTTTTCAAAAAGTCTATTTTCTATTTCTGAATATACTATATAGATTAAAAATGGTAACTAGTTGTATTTAGCACTTTGAACATTCCATAGACTTACAGTCTTATTATAACCCTTGCAACTAACAAATACCATCTGAACATCTGAGTTATTAGATATCAGGAATTCTAACACAGAACAGTAATTTTGACAGCAAAATTGAACGAAATCATCTCAAAAGTAACCAATTATTTATTTATTTATTAAATTTGTCCCCCGCCCATCTCCCCCCAATGGGGGACTCTGGGCAGCTCACAACACATTAAAACAATAAATAAATATACAATTAAAACCTATAACAATTAGTCTGTTACTGTTAAGAAATACTAAGGTTCAGAGATATACATTTAATAGACTGGCATGTCAGAGATTATTTGTTTTTTTAATGAGTCGGACGTCTTTGGGGGTCTACTACAGATGTACTAGTCATAATTTTAGTTCTATCTTGCTCCTGCCCCTCAAACTAGAACACTGAAGACACTGATCTCTGGCAACACCCTGTATGATAGGATTACTATATTCAACTGGGATGCTTATAGTCAATCTTATATTTCCCCCTCCATGCTGGACTTTCAAACACTGAATTCAGTACTTTCAAAACTGCTCAAGAGATGTCAAATATTCTGGCCATAAGAAATCATCACAATTTGGAATGAGACCCTGCCTTTTTGTTTTTATCTCTCATAAGAGTAGATGCCACAAGAATAAGTGGATAGAAATTCATGCTGACTGCTATGTGTCAGCTAACTTCAAACATATTGGCCAAAGTGATTACTTTTTTCAAATATAAGAAAGAGCTCTGCAAAATGTCAGACAGAGGTGCTTCACAAAGTGCTATCTTAAGCCATACAGTATCTTCTGGAAGACTTGCAGAGCTGCTTTGAATATTGTCCTTGGTTGACACAACTTCCATGAGGGCCACCAGCAAATGAAACAGCTGTGCATGCACATGCATGCAGACAGCCTTTGAAGCAGCCAAGTATGCAGCTGTTTTAACATTATGAGGAAAAGAGATGTGCTTATACTAACATACTTTGCAAAGTGTCCATTCTGAATGCTATTCAGAGTCCTATTAAACATTTTCAAAAGGAAACAGCTGAAACAGCAAGGAAAAATCTGTGACATAGCTATGTCTACCCAGCATCAGTAACATGAACATAGAGAAAAATGAGATCACAATGATTTTAGTTAGCTTTAAAGTATATGCAAAAGAGTTGTAAGTTTATATTTTCATGCAACACATCTGTTATCTGCATCATGTCATTTTGTCATTTCTCATTTTTCACTGTTTATGCTTATGTGTTTTTACAGATGTTTATTAAATGGCAATACTCTTTCATTATATATAAAAGAATATATTTAAAGCAACTCTCATACAAAATGAAAAGGATTCTGTGCTGAAATAGTGCTTAATGCCATTTGTAAGTTGAGAGTAGAATAGAGACCCCTCATGTCATTTTTAGTAGGCCCACTACTTCAGGTGCAAATGACCCGGGATATTTACAACACCCTTGGACTAGGCGGGACTGTTATATGCAATGTTCACAGGGATTTAAATTTAAAGTCCATGAGTGACACATTTCAGATTTCAAACATTACATAAGGAAAACAACTTACTTTCCAATATTTTCAGGTAATGCTTGAAGTGAGATGTCATTTACAGAGAGGCATGTTAGATTCTGTAGTTCAGGAAAACTTTCAGGTAACCTATAGAGAAAAAGTACAACATATCCCTGAGAATGGCAAAGGATAAATTCAGTTCTCTGCAAAACAAAACAAACAAACTTGCAATTATTAATGTTTCAAGTTCGTTCATTGAAAATAGTACATTCAGTTTTAGATGGCAGTTTACAAAGCAGGAAGTAAACAACTCCTGGAGAACTGAATAGAACTAACTAAAGTCATATATCCACAGCAAGCATTAAAACTCTAAACTGTGTACACATTATACGATATGGAAAAACATGCTTAGATTACCACAAATATTTGTGGATACATGATTTAGAATTAACTGGGTCTTGGGGAAGCTATCATTGTCTCAAATATGGTGCTTCTTTTTTTCTTTCTCATAAAACAGATTTTTTTCTTCTTTTTTCAACTATTTTTCCAAGGATATTCTCTCTTACAACCAGGCAGCTTGGTTTGTAAGGCACTACACAGGACAAGTTGTTTTGAAAGCAAATCATTAGTTCACTGAAATGCAGCAGAGCTTTGGCAGTGAATCCAAACAGGCCAGCAAAAGTCAAACATTAAACATTTGTTGGTCTTGCACATGATGACGATGGTCATCAAGAACAGTAGCTCATTTTAAAACAGGGACTCCTGCAGATTAAATGCCAACTTTCAGCCCAAGGATGGACAACCATTCAGTGACCAGAGTTTGCATTTAATTGGGGGGGGGGGGGAGAAGGGTAAGCCAAATAGATTGGGCAATTATGCGAAGTGCACTGAGCCACATCATGCATTAAAAATGTATTTTAAAGTTCTCAGGGAAAGAACTTTGGTTTAAGTATGCCAAGAGTATTTTCATGTGTGTGTATTTATATTTATATTTCACTGTGTGATCCACCTTGAACACTGGGAAACAAGACCACTGGCTTTTGGTAATTATACCCTGAAACTGACTGGAGTGGGGTTCAGGGACCATTAAAAAAAGAAGGGATTGGTGGCCACAGGTTGTCTGTATTGGTTTTCATGTGTTATGAAACAATGAATTGCAACTGCTTTCTTTCCACATGAAATATTGTCTCCAAGGAGCTAATTTATCAGCCCTGCTCTTGATACTCAACAGGAAGCAATTAGCTGTTGGTAAAATGGATTGAATAGGAAATATTCTAATTTGTCTGAGCTACACTGTTTGTTTCAATCAGAGGAGATGTTTAATGAGAAGGAGGCAATGAAGCACCATACTGAACCACCAGAGGTACAATGGCATCTACCAGCCAATTTTCATTTCAGAGTTTGTTCTCCAGGACAAATAGCTAATATTCATCCCTCAAATTCATTCTCAGCAGCCAGAATAACATTTCAACTGATATGTTTCTTGGAAGCTACATGGCAAAAAGTAATTAAACACAGAGACATGATACTGTCTTTTGCTCAGAAGAGCAGCATCTATGTATCCCTCAGAACTGTCACTATATGCATGTGCTAATCAGTTATTAAATAATAGTTCTGAGATTTCTGAGACATCTATCAGCTTCCCTACAACGTCTGAAGCTCCCTAAGCATTTTTCTGGATTTGATACCACTAACCAGTTCCAGCCAGCTACTGCAGATTTCAGGCATCTGTTTGTAAATCATAGGTGTCCTCAGGTCTGAGTAGCATGACCCTTCCCCTTTTTTCTGTATTGCTATGCTTATCAATTTTAAGGTTATATTGATCCATTAATGCTGTTGGCATGAATTCATACTTTCCTTTTGTTGAGGAGTTTAGTATCATAACAATTTTTTTTAACAAGTCTGAATACCATTAAATTCTTCCTGGGTCTTGAGCTAGTCACTCTATTCCACTCTTTTTTAAATTTATTTTTGCTGGTAAATTTATTTTTGCTGTATTTCATCAACTTTCTGCAGATCACCAGTACAACCAAAAGAAAAATATTTCCACAGATCAAGCTCTGTTTTAGTATGTATAAGCAGCTAGGGTAAGTAATATATGCTCCAAAAGCCAGTTGACAACTTAATTAATTGTTGCTAAGTAGCAAGGAAATGTCATTTTTTAAACTTCATTTTGCAGTCAAATCCCACCTTTTTTCAGTATTGTCTTTAAGGCAATGGCAATTTCACTTATCTATAAAAACCTGTTTCACAATTTTTCTTTAGTAGAATCAAATCTATTATTTGAAAAAGATATATAAAACAGAAAAAAGACATTTTTACTCTTTTAAAATGTTTGAAAAGTGTTCATGTTTCTATAAATTATGAAGACTACCTGGTGAGAGGATTTCCACTGAAGTCTGCTACTTGTAATGATTTGCAAAATGAGATGCTTTCAGGGATTTCAGGAATATCTATAGGAGAAAATCAGAAATGCAATCAGAAATATTAACTGAAAATCTACTGCCCATCAGTACTCTTGAGCCTATACATAATGTTTAAAGTCCATACTTGTGGTGCCAAACAGAGTCCCCAATACAGTTCTTAGGCTCAAGACTAGAATACCAACAATAGAAGTAAAGGCATGGCAGTTAGTAATTATATATTGGTTGAAGGTAACATTCTTCCCTAATGGCTTGGTTCCACTAATTTTGAAACATGATCACTTGGGTGTTAACAGTGAATCAGAGCCTGAGATGCTCTGGGTTTGCCATAGACTTCTTCTATCTTCTGGTTTTGACCAGGGAAAAAAGGCAATCCTTCAAAGGTTGAATGATATTGAATACAAATTTGAAGTCTTTCCTGTAAGAGCAGAACAATGATACCAAAAGACACTTGGCAATCTACAAGTTATCTACAGATATTAACCTTCCCCAGATTGAGGAAAGGTTTTTTTGGAGCCAGTAATGTGCTTACATCTGCATTACTACAGGGCAGATTCATCAAAACCCCACTAATAGAACATGCCTACCCATGCAACTCTGGGGAAATAGAAGACATCCAACATTTATTGTTTCACTGAAATGTTATAGGGATCTGGGCAAAAATTACATACTACCCCTGCTGCAATATCTCCCAGGAAAAACAGAAGAACACTACAGTAATCATCTTCTTTCAGATTTCAATCTTGCTATCACCCACACAGTAGCCAAATTCTGTGAGGCTGCAGTGAAAACACAGCAACAACTAGTGCAAATATAATAAATTGCAAGTCTTTTATTAATTCTATTTCATTGATTTTATCTTTCTGGTTTTATTTTCTTTAATATGCTGAATTTTGATTGTAATAAATTTGATTTAATAATAACAAATTCATGATTTTTACATTATAACACTTAGATAAAAAAGATGGAATAGGCCTGACAAATGGAAACCAAGGTTTAACAGAAAAGCATACTAACCTGTTTATGATTCTGCAGCATCAAGTTTAATATATGAATAGTCAGAGTTCCATACATCAGTCATAGAGGAAGATGGTTAGCTTACTTGTTTCACACTAGTCATAGGCCTGATTCACATATCACACTAAGCTGAGGTTTGTTTAACCATGATTTATTGAAAAAAACTGGGTGGGTGTATGCAGCATCCTAAATCATGAGTGGTTTGTTACACATGGTGTGAACGTAGCCATAGTCAGCACATACAAGTCATATTACGAAAAAATGCAGTTTTTACATAGGCCTAGAATATTCCAAGCATTTCATATGGATTAATTTGATAATGTTTAGACAATCCTAGAAACTCATCCTATTTATGGTACTGCTACAAAGAAATCAAGGTCTATGCTGTGACTACAAAGAAAGAAAACCCTCATAGCATGGTTTCATTTTTATATCTTTTGCATTCTGATTGCTTATTTTTATTAAAAACAACAACAACAAATAAACCATAAGCCACTTTGAGGTTTTTTGATTTGGTGGTCATATAAGTCTAATAAGGAAATAAAATAAATGAATTTAAAACTCTTCATTTGTATTTACAATTTTCACTCCTAGAAAACACGAATTCTGAACACTGTCAACTTGTCCCAACAAGAACTTTTAAAACCTTATTATCAATTAACAACTGTAATTTTAAAGAAAAGAAATGTATCAGGATTAAAGTTTTGGCAAGCTCTTCCAAAAATCAATAGCTGGGAAGGATGCTAACTATGGTAATGGGCAAAATACCTTATTAAGTATGGAGAAAATAGACAGATGTGCACCTGTTTATAAAATTCTGTTGTTGAGATATATGGATCTCTCTCTCTCTGTTCTACAACTAACCAGGTTGGAAAACTTCTAATGGTGCTAGTTAATTGATTCAATTCTCTTGAATGTGCAGGGCCGTTTCAGTCCTGCACACCACAGAATGCTCTTATTTACACATGTGACTGACCAAATGCTTTGGCAGTGGATACACTGGCACTGCTAAACAGAAAGGCTATAAAGCATAAGCTCTATGACGCAGGACGGTGCAAACAGGCACTCTGTCAAGTGAAAGTTAGCATGGCTGAATGGAAAAATGCCAAGCAAGCAGGATTATAAATAAGAGGACACACTTTTCTTTCTAGGCAGAATACATTTAATGCTAAGAGAATTACAGCTAAAAGGTGAATTGTACTCACAGCTGAAAGTCTATTTACAGTGCAGCATGGAAGTCTAATAAAAAAGACAGTTCGACACTACTTCTTCATGCTGCCTCACTAAAATCCTACAAAATTGAACATAGCATGTGAAACACTTGTTATCTGAACCAAGGCGGGGGAGAGCGAGGTCAGTTCACTGTGCTTTTATGTTCTTATCCAGCACTCTCTCTTGGCTCCCTGTGACGTTCCTCTATGCAAAATGTAAACTACACAGTACCAGGTGGAAATTTCTTTCTTTTTTTTTCCCACATAGATTCAGCCCCAGCATAAATTTATATCTAAAAATTTAGATAATTTGCTAAGCAAAATTAAACAATGGGTCACCAGGGCTTGTTGCATTCTTTATATTTATCATCCCAAATGATGAAAGCAGAGAAAGGGAAGAAGAAAAAGAAGGAAAGAAAGCTTCTCTTTGCTAGGCTATTATCAGCAGACACTGCTGTATCTGTGTACAACAGAAGAAGTAGCAGTCTTTTATGAAATTATGCAAAAGTAATTCAGTATATAGAAAAAGCAAACTAAGCCATAGTGGTTGCAAGAAACATTTTAAAATCCATCTTACAGCAACAGCTTTATTAGGTCAAAGATTTTCAGAGTTATTTATTTTAGCACACCAACTTAAATTATTCTGCTAGCATAGCATAGCATAGCATAGCGTAGCGTAGCGTAGCGTAGCGTAGCATAGCACAGCACAGCACAGCACAGCACAGCACAGCACAGCACAGCACAGCACAGCACAGCACAGCAC